TAGGGGGAGGGAAGGATGAGTACGCGGGATGCAAAGGACTTTCAGGGCAGTGAAACTACTCTGTATGATACTGTAATGGCGGATACGTGTCATTATACATTTGTCCCAACCCACAGAATGTACAACACCAAGAGTGAACCCTAATGTGACCCTAATGGACTCAGGGTGCTAATGACGTGCCAATGTAGGTTCATCAATTGTAACCCATGTGCCACTCTGGTGGGGGTCCTTGATAATGGTGGAGGCTGTGCGTGTGTTGGGGTGGGGGTATACGGGAAATCTCTGTACCTTCTGCCACGAACATAAAACTGCTCTAAAAAAGAAAGCCTATTAAAAAGAAAAGTTATGTTGATGGTTGCAAACTGCAGCAGGTTGTTTAAAGGCCACACATTCCTCCCATCCTAGTCTGCACAGCAGTTTGCAATGTGTCTTTGCCATTTGCTCAACTCCTACAGAGTTGGGGTCTATTTCCTCTCCCCCTCCACTGCTCCCCCCCAGGCTATGCTGGCTTTGTGACTTGCTTTGGCCATTAGAGGGGAGGGGGTGTCAGGAGTGACTTGAGACTCCCAATGGTCAGGAAGTTTGAGGCTTCCACCTTGATGCTCTTGGAAAACCCTGGATGCCATATAAGGAAGCCCCTCTGGCCTACCAGAGGAAGGAAGGCCACCTTGGACTTTCCAGCAGGGACTCCAGTCACAACCGGCATAGGAACTGCCCAGCCCACAACCAGAATAGTGAGAAATAATAAACGATTGTTGCTTTGGGCCACTAAGCTTTGGGGTGGCTGTTATGCAGCAAAGGCTAACTGAAAACACAGCTCCATTCATCATTAAAAGCTGAAGTGATTGGCTCACGCCTGTAAGCCTAGCACTCTGGGAGGCCGAGGCAGGAGGATCGCTCAAGGTCAGGAGTTCGAAACCAGCCTGAGCAAGAGCGAGACCCTGTCTCTACTAAAAATAGAAAGAAATTAATTGGCCAACTAAAAATATATAGAAAAAATAGCCGGGCATGGTGGTGCATGCCTGTAGTCCCAGCTACTCGGGAGGCTGAGGCAGGAGGATCGCTTGAGCCCAGGAGTTTGAGGTTGCTGTGAGCTAGGCTGACGCCACGGCACTCAAGCCTAGGAGACAGGGTGAGACTGTATCTAAAAATAAATAAATAAAATAAATAAATAAATAAATAAATAACTGAAGTGATATAACAGGAGGGGGAGTGGGCAGGACTACGGATGAAACAGAATCGGCCCCACGTTGGTAATTGTTGAAGCTGAGGATTTAGCTACTCATCCACTTCTATGTATGTTTGAAATTTGCCATAATGAAAAGTAAACAAAAGGAGGGGGGAGTTTGGGAAGATTTCATTAGAAAATTATATATATATATGCCTGATATTTAACACCTTTCCTAATCGTTTGTATTTAATTTTCTTTACATGATTACATAATACACAGAAAATGAAATACATTTTTCCCCATCAGGCCCCATGTTGATTCTCCAAATACCCTCCAGTTCACCCCACAGTGCCCCAGAAATACATAACTTTCTGTGAGTGTCAGGAGGTAAGAAAGAGTGGGGAGCTGAGCCTGACTCTATCTCCTCTCCCAAGGCAGGTCACGACACACCACCAGGCAGGGATCCAACAGGGCAGGAGCCTCCAGCCCCCCAGTCTGCAGTGGCAAGGGGGGGGGGGGCGATGAGGAAGTCCAGCCTTCCCGGGGAGCCAGCTTAGCCGGCTCTGCCTGCTGCTGGATGGGTGCCTGCACTGCGAGGTTGCTCAGGTTGGTAACTGTGCAAACTAAAGCCCAGGCCCGTTGTCTGGACGGTGGGGGTAGGCGTGGGAGTGCTGTGAGGGGCGATGAGACCCTCCCGCCAGAGATCACTCAAAAGGTGAGTCAGCCTGAATTACAAACCACTCCAGGAGGGGCCAGAAGCTATTCTTGGCCAGATCAGGCCATCCTTAGATCCCTACGTCCATCCTGCTCAGTTCGCCCTCTGAGTTCCCCCTGGGCCGCAATTGTCACCGATTGTAAACATCACACCGTGGGAGCGGGAAGTAGGATGCCCCCGCGTGCACCCCCAAGGCAAGGGGCTTGTCGCAAATGAGGCAGCAGGACGGCGGCCAGAGCAGCTCCCAGAGGGCCCGGCCCTCCCGGGAGGAGCCTGAGGGCCCCCCCGCCCCCGGCTGCGCGTGGGAGGGGAGGGGACACAGGCACCCGCTCCGCGAGCCACCGGACACCGCCTCCAACCCGAGTTTCCAGAGCCTGGTGAATCCCGTTCCCGCTCCCTAGCGGTCTGCAAAGACTGATGCTAGTTTTGCAGCCTCGAGGCCACTCTCGGGAAGTCCTTTCCTTCCAAGGACGCCCTGAACCCGCCAGGAGGGGGCGGGGGAGAAGGAGGGAAGAGGGAGGGAGGCAGGAGGGAGGAAGGGGGGAGGAGAGAGAATGAGGAATGAGCTGCATTGGTCTGTCGCCTCTGCAGGGTAAGATGCTGACACTCCAGTCCCGGCCCCCTCTCCTGGGGCCAAACGTTCTGGTTCCTGTCGCCAGGCTGCAGAAAAATGAGCACACAGAACACGCGGGCTAGAGCATAAACAGGGTTATTTTATTGCTTGCTTTTGATTTTTTTTGCATACCCATTAATAAACTACTGCAGCAAAAAGAAAGAAACAAAGAAAGAAAAGGAACAAAGAAAATAAAGAAAAGGAAGAAAGGAAAGAAAAGAAAAAGAAAGAAAAGAATCCAAACAGCCTCTCGGTTGCTTTTTGTTATGTAAGAAGGACAAATGAAAGCTGGCTGGTGGCGAAGGAATTCCTCCAATGCCACCCTCCCAATCCGAGCCCCTGCAATGGCCTTAAATCAAAAGGGACAGCGGAAGGCCGGGCGCTGTGGCTCACGCCTGTAATCCTAGCTCTTGGGAGGCCGAGGCGGGCGGATTGCTCAAGGTCAGGAGTTCAAAACCAGCCTGAGCAAGAGCGAGACCCCGTCTCTACTATAAATAGAAAGAAATTAATTGGCCAACTAATATATATATATAAAATTAGCCGGGCATGGTGGCGCATGCCTGTAGTCCCAGCTACCCGGGAGGCTGAGGCAGAAGGATCACTCGAGCCCAGGAGTTTGAGGTTGCTGTGAGCTAAGCTGATGCCACGGCACTCACTCTAGCCTGGGCAACAAAGTGAGACTCTGTCTCAAAAAAAAAAAAAAAAAAAAAAAAAAGGGACAGCGGGTGTCTGCTGCTGTCTGCGCAAGCACGGAAAAGGGAGACGAGTTCTGCCAGCGGCTGGCATGACACTCCTGCTGGGGCTGGGGGGACACATTGGCACTAAACTAGGCCCACCTGAAAGCCACCAGCCCCATTTACAGCCCCCTTCCCACCCGCTCACACACACACATTCACTTCCTTGCAGCTTGGAGCTCCAGGCAGCTTCCTTTGTACCACGTCCCACCACTGTCCCTATGGTCAGAGTTGCAGGGCTGGGAGCAGGTACCTGCTGCAAGGACTGGGCCACCAGAGTCTTGCTCAGGAATTTAGGATTGGGCTAGAGAAAGAGAAAACACTGTTTATATAGAGCTGGAGACCATCCTGTGTAAATGAGGAGCTGGAGAGAGAGAGAGAGAGACAGGGAGAGAATGAATCTGAGAACAAAGATATCGCTGGCACAGAGGGGCAGGCCACATGGCTTCTGCCTGTGCCCCCTGTTGCCTTCTAGGCCTTTCTGGGCCCACCCGCAGAGTCCTCCCATCGTCCATAATAACTCCTGCCTTCTGCTTCCCAAGGCACCTATGACCTGTACCATCTTTCTGAGGTTTGGTGAGCTTGAAACGTGTTACTTGCACCCAGCAGAGTTCTAAACAATAGCCCTCAGATGCAAACTTGCTTTCTCATTTTATATATATATTTTTAATAAACAGACTTTATGTTTTATAGCAGTCTTAGGTTCACAAAATTGAGAGGAAGGTAGAGATTTCCCATACCCTCCTCCCACCCCCACACATGCACAGCCTCCCCCACTATCACCAGCCCCCTCCGCAGTGCCACATTTGTGACAAACCGTGACTCTACACTGACACATCATTATCACCGGGGACCATAGGGTTCGCTCTGTGAACCTTAGGGTTCACTCTTGGCGTTGGACATTCTGTGGGTTTAGACAAGTGTATAGTGACATGTTTCCACCATCACAGTATCATACAGAGGAGTTCGGGGACTGTCCCTCCTCTGCCTGGCAGCGTGGTCCCCTCTGTGGTGAGGAGGGTCCGGCAGCCCTCTGTATCCAGGCAGAACCCTGGGGGCCATGCTGCGGAGCACATACAAACACTCGTCACCTCCTTATTTCTCTGGAGGGCAGAATCATTGTGCTGGTGGCAGGTGTTTGCCTCTCCTGCTCCCCACACTGTCTCGGCAGCGCCCTCCCATCAGCCGCGACAACAGTGATAGCAGTGTCCGCGCACTGACTGCGGATTACGTGCCGGACACCTTTCTAAGCGCTTGATATGTATTTACTTGACTCTTACAACCACCCTGGGAGGTAGATAATAGTATTAGCCCCCAGTTAATAATGGAAGGAGCTGAGGCACAGAAAAATGAAGTTACATGCTTAAGGTCACACAACTTGAAAGTGGCCTAACCAGGGTTGGAGTCCAGGCAGTCTAGCTCCAGGCTGCAACTGTTAGCAGCTATACTGTGATGGGGAAGGTATTCTCCATACACCGCACAGTGGCTCACGCCTGTAGTCCTGGCACTCTGGGAGGTCGAGACGGGAGGATCGCTCAAGGTCAGGAGTTCAAAACCACCCTGAGCAAGAGCAAGATCCTATCTCTACTATAAATAGAAAGAAATTAATTGGCCAACTAAAATTATATACAAAAATTTAGCTGGGCATGGTGGTGCATGCCTGTAGTCCCAGCTACTAGGGAGGCTGAGGCAGGAGGATCGCTTGAGCCCAGGAGTTTGAGGTTCCTGTAAGCTAGGCTGATGCCACGGCACTCTAGCCCAGGCAACAGAGTGAGACTCTGTCTCAAAACAAACAAACAAAAAAACCACAACAGACATTTATCATCACACACGGCTTCTGAGGGTCAGGAATCTGGGTGCTTCTGGCTCAGGAGTATCGTGGGGAAGGCTGCAGTCAAGTTGCTGGCCAAGGTTGCAGTCGCTGAAGACTTCCAAGCTCAATTCAGGTGGCTGTTGGCAGGAAACCTCGGTTGCCTGCCATGTCGGCTTCTCCAGACAGCTGCTCGAACAAGACTTCCCCTAGTGTGAGGCATCTGAGGTGGGGGAGAGAGAGAGAGAGATGAGCCACTTTGCCTTTTATGGCCTAGTGTTCCAGTCATATACCATCACTTCTGACTTATTCTATTCATGAAGCCCAGCCCGCACTAAGTTCAACTTGAGGGATTACACCAAGGCATGAATTACCAGGAAGCAGAGATCACTGGGGGCCACCTTGGAGGCTGGCTGTCACAGACACAAAGAGAAGATAAACAGAAAAGAACCCGGCCTTCAGAAAACCTAAAACTTTCTCTAGAGGTGACACCAAAAAGCCACCCACCCCTGTGCAAACACCAGTCACCACTCAACAAGCCTCTGCCCTGTGTCTGGCACGTTTTACCAGGCACTATGGAGAGAGCTAGACTCATCTAGAACATGAGCTCTACAAGGACAGGTTTCACTTCTTAGACACCATATGGTTGTCAGGCTTCTGTGATTATTTTTTAATTGACTGACATGAAAGAAGTTGAAGACATACTGACTGCTCTTAGAAAGTTAACAGCCTCGTGGGGTGTTTTAAACCTTAATTACATTGTTTTTGTATACTTTTTATGGTAAAATATATATAACATAAAATTTACCATTTTAAACCATTTTCAAATGTACCATTTTAGTGGCATTGAGTACATTCACATTGTTGTGCAACCATCGCCACCATCCATCTCCAGAACTTTTTCATCTTCCCAAATTGAAACTCTGGATCCATTAAACAGAAAAACAGAAACTCCCCATTCTCCCCTCCCCCAAGCCCTGGCAAGCACCTTCTTTCCTTTCTTTCTTTTTCTTTTTCTTTTTTTTTTTTTTTTTTGAGACAGAGTCTCACTCTGTTGCCTGAGCTAGAGTGCCGTGGCGTCAGCCTAGCTCACAGCAACCTCAAACTCCTGGGCTCAAGCAATCCTCCTGCCTCAGCCTCCCGAGTAGCTGGGACTACAGGCATGCGCCACCATGCTTGGCTAACTTTTTCTATATATTTTTTTAGTGGACCAATTAATTTCTTTCTATTTTTAGTAGAGACGGGTCTCGGTCTTGCTCAGGCTGGTTTTGAACTCCTGACCTTGAGTGATCCGCCCGCCTTGGGCCTCCTAGAGTGCTAGAGTTATAGGTGTGAGCCACTGTGCCAGGCCCCTTTCTTTCTTTCTTATGAACCTGTTTTGACATATACATTCCACTTTCTATCTCTATGAACTTGACTACTCTGTGTACCTTGCATAAGTGGGATAATGCAATATTTGTCCTTTTGTCACTGGTTTATTCTACTTAGCATAATGCCTTCAAGGTTCATCTACATTGTAGCACATGTCAGGTAAGGGTCATTATTCTCATTTTTCAAGATATTAGCTAACTTGCTCAATATCACACAATGAGCTGGGAAACAAAGTCAATGCAAGTGGATTCCTTAGCAAGGCAAATGGCTATAAGTCCTATTTAATAAAATACAAATTTGGTCCAAGAAACTTGAGGCCACAGAGCATAAGATGTAGTTATCTATGGACAGGTCCCTAAAAGTAAGTGGTGAGCCAAGTTTTTTGGTTGTTGTTTGTTTTTCTGCTTTTTCTCATTCCTTGCAGACATCTTGCATAGTGAACCGAATTTTGAAGCTGTTCCAAGATCAGGCGTCCAGCGGAAAGCTAAGAAAATGAGTGGCTGCAGAGAGGGCCAGAGTGGCCTCAGACACTGGGGGTCTGTGTGTGATTCTCTTATCTGGGCTTTCTGGGGGCTCCACACAGCACCCCTATTTGCCAGAGACGTTTGAGTATCGTCGGCCCAAGTGGCAGAGTCGCCTGTACCAAATTCAGGCAATTGCAGAGCCGTCTCCAGGCTGCTGGACAATTGGGTCAGAGCAGCCCTTGAGAATGGGGTGTATGTGGCTGCCAAAATCCAATGAGACACCAAACATTGTGCCTCTTTTTTGTTCGTTTGTTTTATTTTTAGAGACAGGGTCTCACTCTGTTGCCCAGGCTGTAGTGCAGCAGCACAATCATAGCTCACAGCAACCTCAAACTCCCGGGCTCAAGCGATCCTCCTGCCTCAGCCTCCCTGTAGCTGGGACTACAGGCATGCACCACCATACCCTGTGTGCCTCTTTCTTAATGGTGGGTGGTATGACTTGTCTTTCACTTTGGAAGTGACATCCCACTGGATCCCTAGAATCTTGCTTAAAGTGATGGGAATATCTGTAAGTAAATAGTGAATCCTGGCCTGGCATGGTGGCTCACGTCTATAATCCTAGCACTCTGGGAGGCTGAGGTGGGGGGATTGCTTGAGCTCAGGAGTTCGAGACCAGCCTGATCAAGAGCGAGATCCTGTCTCTACTAAAAATAGAAAAACTAGCTGGGCATGGTAGCACGTGCCTGTAGTCCCAGCTACTCAGGAGGCTGATGCAGGAGGATCGCTTGAGCCCAGGAGTTTGAGGTTGCTGTGAGCTAGGCTGACGCCATGGCACTCTAGCCCAGGCAACAGAGTGAGACTCTGTCTCAAAAAAAAAGTGAATCCAGTGTGGAAGAAGCCATCAGAGAGGCAAGGGAAGGGAAAGCAGCAGTCCAGGCAGAGCAGGGTAGAGGCATCACAACAGAGCTGAGTGGATTACAAATGATGAACTGAATGGATGTATGGGGGGCAGCAAAGAGGGACCCTGGAAAGAGGCTGGCGGGGGGGGGGCGGGTTGGAAGGGAAGAAAAAGAGAGTGGGGCAGGGGGAAGACGAGGTGGCAGAATGGACTTAAAGAGCATTAGTCCATTCTGCATTAGTGTCTGCATTCTGTATGACCCAGCAATTCCCCACCTGGGCAGGTGTATCAGGCTCCCCAAGACCACCCTCAGGTTTGCTGAGCACTGGGAGGACTCCTAGGTCAGAGTTACGGCTATGATATCTTACAGCTGAGGGTTACAAAGTGCAACTAGCAAAGGGAAGAGGCACGAGGGGCGAAGTCCAGGGGAGACCAGGCACAGGCTTCCAAGGATCCTTCCCCAGTGGAGTAACACAGGATGCATTTAATCCCCCCAGCAATGAGTGGTGACAACACATGCTGTCTACCAGGGAGGCTCATTAGAGACTCGGCACCCAGGGTTTTTTATTGGGGGCTGATCACATAGGCACCCCCTGCCCAGAAAGCATCAGAATGCCAGATTCCCAGAAGGAAAGCAGGTGTTCAGCATAAACCACACTGTCTGGTAACAGTTCAGCGCAGTGAGCCACTCTTACCAGTCAGGGAAGGAGGAGAACACTCCCAAATCCAAGTTCCCAGACACCAGCCAAGCGCCAGCCCGGCACACAGGCTTTTCTCAGGAAGGCAGCCAGGCCTGCTGTGCTCATTCTTTTCTGCACAACCTGTATCCTGCAGGCCCATGAGGAATGTGTGCCAGGTGCTCACTGCAGTCTGTGGTGACAGGGATCCCCAGGCAATCTGGGTGTCTGTCGCAGGGACTGTGGATAGGTTTGGTGTGGTGGGTGCCCATCGTGGAGTATCTATCACCCAGCAATTAAAAGCAATGGATTATTTGTACACACAGTAACAGAAATAGATCTAAAAAGCAGTCCTTGGTGAGGAAAAATGTAATAAAAACAAGAAGAAATATGTAACTCAATCCATTAACATAAATTAAAATATATGCATAAAATACATGCATACAGCTGCCATTGATATAAATTCCAAACACAGGAAAATTAAGCTATGCTGTTAGGAATCCGTTATAAATTATCCTCGGGGAGGTAGTGCCTCGAAGTGGGCACGAGGTGCTTCCGGAGTACTGGTCATGTTCTCTTTCTTGAGCTGGGTGCTGGCTACGCAGGCGTGTTCGCTTTGTGAAAATTTATCCAGCTGTGTATAGATGATGTGTGCATTTTTCCATAAATGTGTTACATGGCTATAACATTTACATAAAAAAATACATTCATGCAAAACAGCAATATTCATTTTGCAAGTGCATGTGTGAAGGAACAAATATATATCGAAAGGATTGGGCCGGGTGAGGTGTCTCATGCCTGTAGTCCTAGCACTTTGGGAGGCCGAGGCAGGAGGATTGCTTGAGGTCAGGAGTTTGACATCAAAATGATTGCCTGTAGGGGGAGGGGAGTGGCAGTGGGGAATGGAGAGCGAATGAAACACACATACACAGGGGCAGGCCTTATGTAGATCAAGGTTGCTAATATGCCACAAACAGAGGAATGGTATTAATTTGACCCTCTGCACCTGAGGTTAAAGGAAAAAGGAGCGAGACAGAAAAGCTCTACTTGTGATCTTGCCATTCAGAGGGAGCCACCAGAGAAATTGGTTTCTTTGAGCTATTTAAGAGTCTATGCGGGGGAGGAGGGGATGGGTATATACAAACATAATGAGTGAGATGTACAACGTTTAGGGGATGGACACGCTTGAACCTCAGACTCTAGGGGGGAGGGGGGGCATGGGCAAAATACATAACCTTAACATTTGTACCCCCATAATATGCTGAATAAAAAAAAAGAGAGAGAGAGAGGGAGAGAGAAAAGGGTCTATGGTCCATCTCTCCAGTTTCCTAAGGGGTCAGTGACACCCCCCCCACCCACATACTCTCCCTGACCAGGAAGAGCACCAGGGCTCACCTAGAGGCGCTGAGATCCCACTGGCCTGTCGGGCAGAGCTCCCCCACTGCAGAGGCTATGCAGGTCCATGGCCACCCCTGGCTGAGGGGCTTGGCAAGGAGGAAAGAGGCACTTGAAGCAATGGGGAAAAGAAAGGCTTGAAGGAGTTTTCCCAGTCCTCATACTTGAGTGTGCATCAAAATGCCTTGGAGGGCTTGTTAAATCTCCGATTACTGGGCCTGACCCAAGAGTTTCTGATTCAGTAAGGATGGGATGGGCCTGAGAATCTGCATTTCTAGCAAGCTTCCGAAGCCACTGCTGCTGGTCCCTGCAGCTCACCTTGAGAACCATGGATACTAAAAAGGAGGAGGGGGGCAGCTGCCGGCCACTTCTTATTAGCAAGCTTTCCTTCCTGGGGCCTTCCTCAGGTTCCAAGGCA